CCATACTGGATGGCCCGTGCCTGGCTTCGGGGGAATTGGTAGCCTCTGCCAATTATTGAGCCCGACATGTTGTTAACCCTTTCATCCTTCGTAACTTTTTTGGCATCTTTTTTTTTTAGCTGGTTCTACTCTTTTTTATTGTTGGAAGAAAATTTGTTTGTTAAAAAAAAAAAAAACTCTTTGTGGCCAACCAAAATTTTGTTTTTAGGAAATAATGAAGAAAAGGACTTTTTTATTTTGAATGGAGGAGACGATTTGGAAGACTTTCAAAATTCTTTATTTATTTACTTTTATGATAAATGATAGACGACTCCGAGACCTTGAAAAAACTACTTTTTTATGTTGGATGTTGGAAGATGCAATAATAGAGATTGAGGATGTGAGAATGTAGACTAACACAAATGTATAAATGTGTAGAAGATTATTATTATTATTATTATTATTATTATTATTTTAAACTTATTATAAAAATCTAATTTTTAGTTTATATTATCATATAAAATACTTTTTTAATACTGCTTCGGATAAGAATATATTTTATTGTTATTCCACAAAAAATCTCAAAGTTCTCTTAAATCTTAAATCTAAAGTCCCCAACTCTATCTTCATGTGAAGAGTGGGATCATTTAATAATCCATTTACGATCTTAAAGCATCTAAATATGCTTCAAGCCATTGAGAAAATCCGGCAGAGTTCCGGCGTCTTCAAGCGGCAGGAAAAACTCCGGCGGCGGTGGTCGAGGAGGAGAGGATTCTCCTTTTCCCCTTTCTCCTCTTCTTCTCTTCTTCTTCTCTCTCTTCACTTGAGTCCCCTTTGTGTAGAATGAGGGCTCTATTTATAGTTTTTCTAGAGTGACATAGCTCGTAAATAGGTGTGAGATCATGGGCGAATAGGGAGTGGTTTGAATGGACGGCCAATATTGAACCCTTCAATCGTGCACTGTTTGTTGGGCATTTGGATACCTTAATGATGTTGGAATTTGGCGATTCTGAGCTCGTTGGATTCATCTCGTCGAGCCGCTCGATTCGAGTATAAGCTCGTTAAAATCTAAGACCGTTTGGTAACTCAAATTGCGGTTTGAACCTTCCAACGGAGCTTCGGGTCCTTGATTCAGACTCATTTGGGCTTGGATTGGGTTTATCTTGGTGTCGTTGGGTTCGTATTTCCGAGACGCTCAGTTTGACTATAAGCTCGCTGAAATCGGAGATCGGGTGCTCCCGGAATCAAGTTTTGAAGTTTCCAACTAGCTTTTGCCTCGAGATTTGTGGCCGATCAATCTAATTTTGTGATGACGTATCAATTTTTTTTTTTTTTTGGAACATTTAGGCCCATTAAGGCAAACTCACACACACAACGCATACACATAGACTCGAACCAATAGGCCAAGTTGGAAGCCTAAGCTCTCAACCAATAGGCCAAGGAGAGTTGTGTTGATGCCGTATCAATTTTCATATGAGACCGAGTTTGACGGCTGAAGCTTATATATATACTCTTGGGGTTTAATTTAGAAGATTGCCGCTTTATTTACTTTTAACTGTGAAATTATTATAAAAAAAATTAGAAGTTTGAAAATTACTATGAGTATTATAATTTTTTCATTAAAAAAATTGCTATTTTATTATCTATTTTTAAAGATATTTTTATTTAGTGTAATCTTAGTTATGTTTATTTTTTATATTTAAAAATAAATCAAATTATTTTTAGAAATACCAATTGTCATTATGTTGTCATCACTACCACAACCGTCATTGTCAATGTGTCATCGCCTTCGCCTTTTCAACAGATGAAATTGCTCTGCCTGCATACATTGCCCACTAATGGAACAATTATTATGTCCTCTGACCGGACGTAGAGCTACGTTCGGCCGCCAATAACATGTTGCCACGTGCTCTTACTCTCTACCACGTGGCCTGACGACTTGACACGGACAGGAACCTAGGAATGCTATGTTCGCGTATTGCGAGGTATTGCTCTGTATTGCTAGGTATTGCATGGAAATAACGAGAAATACCGCCCTGTGAAGACTAATACCGAGCAAATACCGAGTAATATCGAGTTGTACCGAGTTGTACCGAGTTTTTCTAGAAAAACTCGGTACAACTCGGTATTTGCTCGGTATTGGTTATTGCCAAGCAAAATCGACCAATACCTACCTAGCAATACCGAGTAATACCGAGCAATACCTAGCAAAATCGAGAAATACCGAGCCATCCTGGGTCCGTTCCGGGTCGAGTTGTCGGGGCGGACGGTAAATAGTGAGAATGCATGGCGCAATTCTACTGACGGCCGAACGTAGAGCTACGTCCTGTGACCGGACCAAATAAAAGTTCCCACTAATGAGCTTCTTCGCTGCTGCAATATTAATAAATATAGAAATAAATTTAAGGGATCAAAAATATTTTTTTTGATGTCAAAATTTAAATAAAATATACTACAAACAGAAAATAAAATTAAACTCAAAAAGTTCTCTCAAACAATCTTTTAATATATTATTGTAGCCGTAAGAAAGTTCTTAATTAAAAAGTTATAATTAAATAAAAATGAGAAAACTCTATGTAAAATAAAATTATGAATGGAAGCTTCGTCTTTTTCTGATGAAATACTTAATTAATTTAATCTTCTTTTATATCTTAACTCATTTTAATTACTGAGGCACAGATAAACACAAAGGTCTTCAATTTGATGTAAAGGAGTCATTCTAATTTTATAGATTCTCCCAATGTCGATTTAGGCTTCGTTTGGGACACTACCAAAAAATATGCCTATCGCAGCACAATTTTTGACCTATCCCGGCGGTTATAACTGCCACAATTTCCTTTGCAGTGGTTTTAAAACCGCTGTACCTACGCTGCAATTGCAATGCGCTTGAAACTGTGACGTTGTGGGTAAAATAACTTAGCTATTGCATTGCACTTTGTGTAGCATCAAGGACACAAAATGTTTGTTTGGTTGAAAGAAGTTGAAAAAGTGGAAATAAAAATGAAATAGGAACTGAAATATGATAGGAACTGAATCCAAAATAGTCTTTTACCCTCTTGTTTGGTTGAGGAGAATTTGAGTGGAAAAGTGTTTCTTCTTTTTTGCTTGGCTTGAAGGAAGAACCAAGAAATTGAATAATGAACACAATATTTGCAAACTTCAATTTTAAGTAGATAAGATAAAGAGAAGTATGTGCATGTTCTACTTTCTTGGTGAAACTAATTTTTTAGATGTAAATATTAGTTAAATAATATTTTTTTAATGTTTAATTCATCCAAACAAAGCAAATAAAAACCGAAGACATTCCTAAAAGGAGAAAACAAGTATAAGGGAACAAGAGTAAGAAGGATCAAATGATAGTGAAGTCCATCAAATAAGACAAGCAGAGAATCTTTGCCTACTGCATTGCACATTGCCTAGCACCAAGAACCCAAAACACTACATTCCAAAAAGAAAAGAAGAATAAGGAACCAATAAAAAGACGCGGTATCAGGGGATATTGAAAGTCGTCATAAAAAAGGAAAAGCATAGCAGCATACCTGAATCCCCTTGTGGCGGCTTTGGTTGCCTGAAAAGCTTCAGATCATCAACGTTTTTGTTAGAATGAACAGAAAAATACTAAACAAAAGGAATACCTCCATATAAACTATAAATAAATTTTTTTAAAGAATGCAAGCATGAGCGCCGACGTCGGCCTCGAGCGGGAGAAATTTTGTTAGGGTTGGTGATTTGCAAAAGAGATTTTCTTTGATGTTTCTTTTCTTCCATTTAATTTCTAATTTTAGGGATTAATATAAAGAAACAAGAAGAAGAATGAGAAGAAGAGGAAGAAGAATATGAAGAAGAAGAAGAATGAGAAAAAGAGGGAAAAGAATATGAAGAAGAACAATGAGAAGAAGAGGAGGATGAAGATGAAGAGACTCACCGTGATCACGAAGGGCTTCCGACCTGGATTCGCCTAGGAGATGCGACGTCGCTTGGCGGTTCACTATCGAGACGGAGCAGAGAGTTTCGGTTTCGCGGAAAGGAGAAGAAATTAGGGATTCGGAAATGAGAGTGAATGAGATATTTGATCACGCTAATCTTGAACCGTTTTTAACCGGTGTAAAATATAACTTTTCTCACCGGTTTAAAAACCGCAGAAATAAAATTGATGCGAAAATGATTACTTTTTAGTAGTGCCTTAACCGTCATTCTCATCGCCTTTGCCTTGTCAACAACTAAAATTGCCCTGCGTGTAGGAATAATTATTACGTCCGAATAAAAAACGGGAAATCCAGACATATACCGAGCAATACCGAGTGCTCAGTACCGAGCTCTAGGTGACGTGGCACGTGGTTATTGGTCTCTGGACGCGTCCGTTGACCGGACGTAATAATTGCGTGTAGGCATTGCCCACTAAATTTAAATAAAATATACTATAAACAGAAAATAAAATTAAACTCAAAAGTTCTCTCAAACAATCTTTTAATATATTATTGTAGCCGTAAGAAAGTTCTTAATTAAAAAGTTATAATTAAATAAAAATGAGAAAACTCTATGTAAAATAAAATTATGAATGGAAGCTTCGTCTTTTTCTGATGAAATACTTAATTAATTTAATCTTCTTTTATATCTTAACTCATTTTAATTACTGAGGCACAGATAAACACAAAGGTCATTCTAATTCTATAGATTCTCCCAATATTGATTTAATTGAGATGAATGTCAGCATGGCTCATGAGGTGATGAGTTAGTCAAATTTGAGCTCCTCTTCTTCACTTTGGTCAATGTTATTTTGTGAGCTGACCCATTAAAAAAGAAAATAAAATATAATATATTATAAATATTATAGTCAGATTTTAATTATTACAAGGTCATTAAATTACACAAATCAGATGCAATTGGAGTTCAACTTGTAAGAGAGAAAAAAGTATAAATTAAAAGCATCAAACATACAAGTTTATCAATACAAAATATTTGAATTATAACTTTTAATTCCAACAGAACTTGATAACTTACAGAAGAAAACATTCCAAGAATCATTACAACAGTGCTTTCCTTTCTATTAGCAGTATGCTTTTACAAAGAGGCTTTCATGAAAATTATCCATCAATAGGTCTCCTGCTTCTCCTCCTCCTTCTTTCACAACACATGACATCAAACACAACAACTATTGCCATTGAACCTCCAAATCCAACACCGAATAATATTCCCATTATAATCATATATATTCCATTCTTTGGAGCTTGGTTGTGTAAATATGATGATATTGTAGTATTGTTCACTCTTGGAACCAATGTGTAGCATGGAAGTAAGGATAATCCATTATTTCCTTCAAATGAAGTGTTCGGGAAAGTGCATAATTGACCTCTAACTGGAATGTTTCCTACCAACTTATTGTAGGAGAGGTTTAAATATCCCAAAAAATATAAAGAACCCAACTCTTGTGGGATCTCACCAGAAAGGTTATTCATTGAGAGGTCCAATGACTCGAGTTGTGATAAATTCCCAAGTTGTGGAATAATATTACCTGTTAAATAGTTATTTGATATGTTGAGCACTTGAAGAGAAGCAAGTTGACCAATGGTTATAGGAATCTCTCCTTCAAATAAATTGTTGGAAAAATCTATTGACATAATGTTCTTCCATGACCTTGATATTGTCATTTGTTGCCCCTTGTTCACGATGGTGAGCAAAACCAAATAATATTCTTGGTTGTTTATTGTACTCCTTATATCACCTTGTACAATGTCTATTTTATCTGTCATCATTGACTTAAAATTATTGAAGCACTCTGCACATAACTTGTCACAAAAGTTATTGAATGAGATGTCCAAGACATGTAACATAGAAAAAGCATAATTTCTTTCAAGCTTTTTTTCAAAAGGCCCAACTTTTCCATGGAATTTATTTGACCTTAAAATAAGAACCCTTAAGGATGACATATTCCCCAACCAATAAGGAAATGTGTCATTTAAGTTATTATTCCCAAGGTCTAGAATCTCAAGTGATTCACAATTAGATATAGACCTAGGAATCAGCTCATCTAATTGGTTGTCTCTGAGATCTATAATTTGCAATTCACATTTTGGACTAATTTCATTGGGGATGGCTCCATGAAGTTGATTTCCTCTTATTTTTAGCACTCGTAGAGAAACTACTTTCAATAAACATGATGGAATAGAATCTGTTAACCTGTTATTCGATAAATCAAGTACCATTAAGTTGGTCATATTGCAAATGAATAGTGGGATTTCTCCAGTCAGGTTATTATTTGCTAGAAAAAGGAAGTTTAACGAATTTTGGAGTGAGGTGATGTTGAAAGAGTTAAAAGATGTGAAATGATTGTTTGAGAAATCTAATGATACATATTTAGTTAATGGGAAAGAAGGAATTGGACCTTCAAGCATGTTGGAATGGATATCAACATATATAAAATCGTAATAATACGCAGTAAGATTAAGGGGAGGCTCTACAACATGTGTGAACATATTGCAAGATAAGTTCAGTTCTGCAATTCTCCAAAACCAGCTCGGTATTTTCCCACGAATTCTATTATTTGAGAGGTCCAAGCTAATCATCATATGTGGGTAATTTATGATTGCAGGGATCTTAGTTAGATTGCAACTAGCTACTTCCAAATATGATAACTTAGGAAAGGAAGATAAAAAAGATCCATTATAAGCATCCCATGAATTTAAGGAAAGTCCACTGTTTGAGAGGGACAAAATATTGAGATTCTTGAAATTCTTGATAAACTCAAACTCTAAGTCTCCACTAAAATTATTTGAACCAAGGAAAAGCTCACTAAGTCCTAATATTTGAAAGACTGATTTTGGAATATGCCCTTGTAGATTATTAACTGATAAAACTAAAACCTCTAGTTGTGATAGATTCCCTATTGAAGGTGGTATTTTCCCAGAGAATCTACAAACAGAGAGAAACAAATATTTTAAAAACTTTAGGTTGCCTATTGAATCAGGTAAATTCCCAAAAGAACTAGTATGAGAAAGATTTAAAGATATTAACTTATTGTCCTCTGAAAATTTTGGAAGAGAACCATAAAGCATTGGATTGAAAGAGATATCAAGATACTGTAATTTTTTTAGTAGAAATATAATGACGGGAATCTTCCCAGAAAATCCGGCATTGGAAAGATCGAGGCTTGAAAGATTTGCAAGCCGGCCCCACCCGTAATTCGGAATGGATATTTGAAGAAATTGGTTATTGGCAAAATTGAGAGTGCGTAAAGATGTGAGATTAAAAAGGCTAGGATCAATCATACCAGCAATGAACTGATTACTTAGGTCAAGGCCTATGACCCTTCCTAATGATTCATCACATGTCACACCCTCCCAGATGCAACAATTTGTGCTTTGCTTCCATGAATCGAGGTCACCAGAAGTAAAGCCTCGCTTCAGCTGGAGAAGCGCTGAGCTCTCTGCCTGGAGACATTGACCAAGAGCATTACAGTTAATCGAGAAAAACTCAAAAACAAGACAAAATGAGAGAAGTGGTAGCTGGAAGAAAACAACAAAGTTGATATGAAATAGATCCATATAGAAGAAGGCGCAGCAATGCCAAAGAGAACTGTTAGCACTTATAAAGGATAAAGGAAGAAGAAGCCATTAGGTTGACTTGATCTCCCAAGTTACTTTTTTGGAGGGAGAAAAAAAAAACTATTTTTATTTTGAATGGAGGAGGCTAATCCTGAAGACTTTTGGATTGATGACTTGATGTCGAAAAAGACTTCAACAATGATTCCATCATTTTGTGTGGAAGAAAAACGTTCGAGCTGAAGCGAGTCTGAAATCAGCTTTTTCTTTGTGAAGAAAACGTGCAAGCTAAAGCTAGTGTGAAATCAGCTTTTTCTTTGTGGAATTCCAATCCATTATTTTCTTGGAAGAAGACGTGCTATTATTTCTAAAGATTAACAGAATTTAACAAACTTAGAGAATAGAAACTCCTCCGAAATTCGGATATAATTGAGAAATAATTCATTATTAATTTACCATTTAAAATACAACAGAAATTAATGTATAAAAATAGAAAGATGAGAATTTATCTGTGTAATTCATTGATGCGGAGAAATACTTAAGGAAAATTATAAATCTATAGTTTTTATTTTTCTGTTAAATATGTAATATAATCAAACGTATGCGTTGTATGAGTTGTTTTATTTTATGAAAATGAAAATGATGCCAAACTTAACCTTTTTTTTTCTCATCAAAGATGGTCAGCTTGAAACTATTGAAATGATTAGGGTTGTTTGGAATCAAATTTTATTTATTTATTTATTTAAACACTTTTGATTTTTATTTAGAAAAAATTCATTCATGAGGTGCATTGTTAATTCACGGAGCATATTGTCACCTAACAGGGGAGAGATTATTACGTGCAGTCATCGGATAATCCAAAGGCCAATCTGAACGTGTCACGTCACTCGATACACAGCGGCAGTGGCGGAGCTGGGATTTTTTATCGGCGGGGGCACAAAATTTTGACTTTAAAAATACTCTCAAATCTTTTCATTTTAGCTTGAAATAGACGTTATGGTTTTAATTTTTTTTATTAGTTTTATTTATAAGAAGATAAATTCTATTATAATGAAAAAAAAAACTTATTGTCATGCTCATCTAATTTAATTTCACATAAATTTATTTAAATTATATATTATGGTAGTAATCTATTTCGACCACATTTTTACCATACATTTTCATATCTAATTTAAATAAAAATATAACTAAAAAATATTTTATGAGCAATAAATATATAAAAAAAACTATATCTTATTATTATAAAAGTATAGCAAAAATATATAAAAAATTATAATAAGCATATTTTAAGCTACCCCCCCCTGCAGGAATTTTTATTGCCTCAGGTTACCTGACGCATCTCTACGTTCGGCATCGCTTCAAATCGCGACACCTGGCAACTGTCTTTACCCGTTACCCGACCCGACGAAGATTGGGTATATCGCACATGCGAAATTTAAATTTGATGGCCCGAGTAATAGACCCGAAAAATATCTCGCGGACCCGAAAATGACGTATAATTTTCAAACAAAGATTATCGTCTTTCACTTCAGTCATCATTTTGTTGCATATACTTCATCTTCTTCCACTGGTGTTTCTTCTTCTTGCGATCCTTCTTCTTCTTTCAAGTTTCCAGGTCTTCGTATTTTCATCTCCTTCCAAGTTCCAAGCTCTCATTTTTTGCCTTTACAATGCCACATGTATGTTATTTTTATATAAACAATGCATCCTCTTATTCCTTTTAAATGTTTAGGGTTAGGTTTTACCAAGTTAAACTCCGATACCTGCTCCGACTGATTTAAAAACTCATTACCAAGCAGTACCGAGCATTACTAACAGTCGATACTGCTCGGTATTGGTCATTAATGGTTGGTATAAGCTTAAGTAAAAACTCTGAATGCTCGGTATCGAGCAGTACCGAGCTTTACTAACACTCGGTACTGGCCTATAATGTTCCTTATAAGCTTAGCTAAAAGCTTGGTACTGCTTTGTACCAAGCAGTACCGAGAGCTTTACTAACACTCGGTACTGGCCATTAATGTTTCGTATAAGCTTAGCAAAAAGCTAGGTACTGCTCGGTACAAAGCAGTACCGAGCTTTACTAACACTTGGTACAACTCGGTACTGGCCTTTAATGTTCCGTATAACCTTAGCTAAAAGCACGGTACTGCTCTGTACCGAGCAGTACCGAGCTTTACTAACACCTGGTACTTATCTGTACCGAGCAGTATCGAGCTTTACTAATAATCAGTACTGTTCTGTACCGAGCAAGAGAAATACCAGCTTTAGTAACACTCAGTACTAGTTGGTATTTGCCAATATTTATCGGTATAAGCTTAGCTAACTGCTCGTTATAGAGCAGTACCGAGCACTACTAACAGTCTAGGGTTTAGGATAAAAACAAAAAAATATTTAATTCTTATATTACCTGGTTATATACACTCGGTATTGCTCGGTACCGAGTGATTTTGACAGATTAATGATTGGTATTAGCACAGTCTTGCATTGGTTAGTTGGTCGGTAATGCTCTGTAATACTCTGATTGAATTGTCTTTAATACTCATTATTTGTTATGCATGGATATACTCCAAAGATTCATTTTAGAGGTCGAACTTCGACTTTTAGAAAAGTTTGTAATGTACTTGTTTGGAGGTTTGGAGAACCCTTTGTTGAAAGACTGAGGCTGCTGCAAATTAGCCAATTCCTTAGGGTACCCCAAATGCCTCAGAATGTTCCGCTAATATACATGCTACTATCGAAGTGGGATATAAAGACTGAAAGTTTCATTATTAAAGGACAAAGTCTACAGTTCAAATCTGATTAAGTTGCATTACTTATAGGCATGCTGAATATGGGTATTACTTTTGACATTGACAGTGCTAGATCTACTGGCAAAACTTCAAATGACATTCGTCATGACATTGAGAGGATGGATAATACCACTCTAATGAACGATCTAGTGAAAGCCTTTGTCCTTTACCTACTATCCAGCATATTTTATCCAATGGCTAACTTCCGCATTCCATCATCTATATTGGAACTTGTCGAAAATGTAGATAGTTTTATAACTTACAACTGGCCAGAATCAATCAGGAGTTTCCTAGTAAATGAATTCAGCAATGTTGCTACTAAATAAGCTAACCGATCTGCACTGAGATATGTAAATGGTTTCGTCATGATTATAATTGTGAGTATTGTTATTTTATTCAAAGGATCATTACTGATTTCCAATTTCTATAACAAAATTAAAGTGTCTTAATTTTGGCAGATTTGGTTTCTTGAACATACAACCATTCATGCCGTGGAGGATGAACTATCCCGGTGACACGTTTTACTCATTGGGATGATAATTTTATGTACACTGAAAAAGATGTAAATAGTATATTTGCTGACCTTTAGGATGATGAGGTACCTTCAATGCATTTTTTCATTTAAATCCCTGTAAAAATGATAAGTTTTAATGTTTATCTTAGATGAAAACTTGAAATAATAGATTCTCCCACATTTAAGAGGAGTAACAGATGATGAGAAGGTTTTCTTTCATGGACCTTCAAATATTTCATCTAAGTCGTCCAGTCTATCGCCACATAGTCCAGCCAGTCCAGTTATGGTACCAAGTCCTATCCGGGTAGCTAGCCCAGCTCATGTACCTCAACATGATTCATCTCAACCTACCCCAGCTAGTCCAGTCAAGGTTGCAAGCCAAAGAAATACTGAAACATCTGCAAATACTCCCCCTGATTCGAGGCTAATAACAAATGAAAGAAATCTCAAGATAATAAATGAAGCTATATACAAGCTGTTTAAGAAAGACAAATTTTTGAAGAAGAAGGTAGCTTCAGTGAAAGCAAAAAATAGAGTACTTGAAAATCGGGTTTTGAACTTGGAGCACTCTATTTTGGAGTTGACAGCGGAGAATCTTGGTTTGAAAGAAGAGATGAAAAGAAAAGACCGTGTAATGTTACAGTTCTTCAAAGATCAGTTTCCTTCTTATATTAAAATGTACAAGAATGAAATGTCTGGACAATCTTCATCAGCTACTAATAAAAATGGCAGTATGAGTGCGGAAGTTGAATTCGATCCTGTTGCGGAGACCAGCATAGCAAGAAGGGTTCAGCAAAGAAATAATAGAAAGAGGAAAGTTGTAACTACCCCATTCACAATCGGAGATAGGAAGAAAAAAATTAAACAAGTTTCATTATCCACAGAGAAGTTATGTGAGAAAATTCCCAGTGATGTTCCAGTCCAGTCCCCTGAACCTGGTCCTGCTCCACCACCAGCACATCAAACTACTCCTGTTACTGCTGCTGAACCACCTATTTCTACTGAAGTTTCTGGACTTGTTTTACCAGATCCTACACATATTCCAACAACTGAAAAATCTGTGATTGTTTATGAAGTTGATGATTCTAAAGAAATACTATTTAAACCTGCACATGAATACTTAGATTACCCTGGCAGATCATTATTTAGTAAAGATAAACGGCTGTTTATTGATAATGCCCTCAAACAATTTAAGGATAAGTGAGTAATGATCTTATACCGATCAATACCGAGTAATACCGAGTTGTACCTAGCTATACGGATCGGTACTACTCGGTATTACATTAAGCATACTCGATACTATATCAATATCAAGTTGTACCGATCAATACCGAGTAAAACCGAGTTGTACCGAGCTATACTGATCGGTACTACTCGGTATTACATTAAGCATACTCGATACTATATCAATACCGAGTTATACCGAGTAGTACCGCGTGATAATGAGCAGTACCGAGCTTTACTATATGATACTACTCGGTATTACATTAAACATACTCGGTACTATATCAATACAGAGCAATACCGAGTACTACCGAGCTTCGTAATTTAATAATAATATTTTTTACAATTATTTTTTCTAATACATATTTTTTTGAATTATACAGGAACGTCACTATTTTCGAGCTTGGATTTATAACAATTTATCGAAGTCAATTGGACGAATAATTATTGTCAGAGGTACTTGATAATAATCATGTTGATGTGTTTGGTCGTTTATTATTCCAGAAAAATGCACTTTGCCCCGGTCTTAATC